AATTGTTACAACAGCTGTTGTCCTCTCTCATGGCTTTTTAAATGCTACAGCAGTGATCCTTAATTCTGCTTGTCTTTTCTAGTCTTCCTTTAGTGTATTTCTGTTAGTTTAAGAAATCAAGTGGAGCTGAAAATATCCCACAAGTGATAGCTTGAATAGCTTCTTGAATTTCAGTTGTGCCTTGTAGAGCTTTTATGCCAAAGTATCAGTCATGTTAGTCAAGTGGGCAGTTCAGAAGAGGGTAAGAAATTATGCTTCTTGATGCCGGTGTAGATTGTTTTTTGGAATTTAAAGCGTCTATATTCTGAATGTTAGTCTAAGTTCAGAGTACTTTCACAAGGTATTTCAGATGCAGCTCAACCACATAGAAGTAGTTGCTTGGCCAAAGTTGTCTAGAGAGTTTACGTGGAGCTCTTCTGACTTGCTGCTTCCTTGTTTTGGGTTTGGGAGCACCGGTATGTTTTCCTAAGTTACTGTTTGTGCTGGTCACTGAAACCGGAAACCCTTCCCGTGTATAGGGGATTGTTTTGTAGAGTTCCTTTCGGAGCAACTTGTGCCTGAAATATTCTTCAAATGCTTTTTTGAGCCTTCAGCACGCCACAGAAATAAGAATCCAAAAAGATGAAATCTTAAATCTGTCTAGCTTTGGTCATATTTTCCATTGAGTTCAGAGATGTGTTATCTGCCAGTATTTTTCTATTAAAACAGGGATAACTGATCAGCAATACCTGTCTTGCATCATGAGTTGTTCAGCTTAAAAGTACCCTTTTGTCGAATAATCCTCAGGTTTTCTCTAAGAATGAGCAAATACGTCTCTGCTCTTCTGGACTGCAGCAGAAGTAAATACCCTGTAGTTGTATTCCTGAAGAGAAGCTTGTATTTGTTTTGTGAGGCCCCAGTCAGAGTTTCTTGGAGACAAAATTACAAAAATAAAGATGATACATGCTTGCAGGGAGTTCCTGAGTCATCCGCTGGGCTACTATCTCTGTTTTCAGAACAAAATGCTCTTAATCTGTCAGTTTTCCTCGCCTTTGTGTTGCCCCAGCTCAGTCCTTACATGTGAAGATTTGATGCCCAGTGCCCAGTTGTTATTATACTGACTATTTGAGACTCCCTTGGTGGTCAGCTTCTCTCTGGGATGTGGAGAGAGCAATCTGTAGGTGCCTCTCAGTTGCCCCATGTTCAGAATGTTCTAAGAAAAATCTCTGAACTATCCTTGGTCAGGGATAGGTCTTTCTTCCAACTTCACAACCTCCCCTCCGCCCCCTGGCATTGCAGGGGTGCTGTGTTTCCATGAACGCTCTCAGAAGCCAGTGCTGCTGCTGGCCTCCCATCCTTGTTGTCCTCCTACCTCCTGACTGCACCCACACTGGCATTTGTATGAGCTCTGGGGAGGTAAATTGGAAAGCTTAAAACTGTTTTTTTTCTTGGCGTGTGGTAAAACATCACAGGATTGATCTGAAGATTTGCTGTATGATAGTTTGCTCCGCTGAGTAGGGTGATTAATGGTTGTGGATTTTAGGAGGGGGCGGGGAAGGGGATCAGGACTTCATATGGTGGCAGTACTGACTGAACCTGGAACTTCAGTGTGACTTAGGTCTGCCATGTAACATTAATGCCTCCTGAGAAGAGACTTTGTGACCTAGATCTAGAGACATGCATTAGTGTTCCAGTTGTTCTAGATTTAACATCTTATCTGTGAGGATTTCCCTGCATATCCAAATGAGATTATCTAATATACCACAGCTTCTGTTTTATGAGTGTTAAAAACTATAGACTGAATATCACTGCTGTGGCATTTTGAAGGTAAGAGTGGAATCTGTGGGTGTAGAAGTGCTTTGGAAACAGCAGTAGCCTCTTGATAAACAGCTACATTTTTTTTTTCCCCTCACTAAAGCTGTAAATACCAAGACGAAATTATACAAATGATACATTCTACCAAAGCAGCAGTGCTCTGTATGTAGTTTTTAGAAGTTCCCGTTGTTGTGAGTGGGTGATAACTGTCAGCTGACATAATGTGACTTGCTTTGTCTGAAACACAGTAGAGAAAGTTACTAGCCTGTGCTGCCCATATGCTACTTTAATCTTCCAAGTGTTTTGTAGTATTGCCTAACCATAGTTATGTAGCCTGTGATGTAAATTAAATGAAATACTGATGTAGCAGATTTCTAGACTGGTAACAGATGCCTCCTACGTTGGGAAACATAACTGCTCTGGGTATAAGCAGGGAAGGTGGCTGTGTGGCCTTGAGTGGATTGCTTGGTCTGTTTATTTGTAGGGTTAGGGTAGACACGCTTACACTTCAGATTTATTATGTCAGAATGTTGCTCCCGTACCAGTAGTGATAATGCTGCTCCATTTGGTTGTCTGTCGAGAAGAGCCAAAGATGAGGATAAGCAGAGAGTAAGTCAAATCTGCTCCTAGTGTAGGAGGGCAACCTAACAAAAACTAGGGCTTCAGACTATGTTTGTGTTTTAGGTACTGGAATGTTTTGCTTGCCTTTCTGCTTCAGATTATACTTTAAGCCTCTTTGTCTAGTAGAATCTCACTCTTATAAAATTTATTGATGTGCTAGCTAAATGCCACCTGTTGCCTCCTCTTTTGTAGCGGATGCATTAGTAAAAGTGATGTTTCTTATTACTAGTTTGTGCATCAGTTGACACTGCTGGTTTTGGTCAGAATCTTGATTTTTCATAGGGTGGCAGGCAGGATGGTGATGGAGGCCTCAGTGTACCTGCATCCAGAGAATGTTTGCGCCGGCACCCAGTGTATTGTTGTGATACGGGCTTACACTGATACAAATAGAGTCTTGGACTCTGCTCAGACTAGTAGGGTTCTTTTGTTGTTTCCTTGTGTCCCCTCCTTTTTCCTCTCTTCCCCAGACCTGGGGGAAGACTTGGACAAGTGTGTGACTATTGACTCTTTCAGACTTACTGACTTGGACAAGTGTGTGACTATTGACTCTTGAAATATAAATTCCTATTTGGAACTAAATGCTGAAGTGAAGAAGTTGGGAAAACCAGGCACTTGTTCCTTCTCTTATATTCTCTCAGCTGCAGGCTTACAAAAGCATGTCAGGAGAGTGGTGTTTCAACAGGTTTTCTTCACTATGTCTCAGAATAGTAAGATTCCTAAATGTTGTCCGTAAAGCTGAGTGGGTTGAAAAGGTCAGTAAGTAAAGCTGAACCAGAGCATGAGGAAGCAGAACTGTCTACATCTTAGTCATATACATAGCTGAGTTTTGCAATATACATTCCTGAGTCACATTTAGGAGCGTCCTTTCCAGTCACTGCCTGTTTCTTTTTCTTTTTTTTTTAACAAAGATTAACTGTTTTTGATATGAATTAACTCTGTGAGCATTAGAACCTAGTTGTAAGATGGGGCATTGGAAGGCAAAAACTCCCTTGTTGCTAGTATTTCGTTAAAACTGTATGGAAATCAGCATCTGAACCACGGACATATCAAGTTCAGGTGTTAGTGGTGGATGTTGCTTTCTAGCCTGACAAATTTTGCAGGCATTGTTTCTGTAAGAATATCCAATATGTCCCTTAATATGGTGGATGTTGCTCTCTAGCCTGACAAATTTTGCAGGCATTCTGTAAGAATATCCAATATGTCCCTTAATCCTTATCCAGACTCTGCTGTTTCTATGAAACTGGCAAAGTAGTTCATTCATCAGTATGACACAAGTCATACTGATCCACTTGACATGAAGTAGATTAATTTGTATATAATAAAGCCTTCTGTAACTTGGGCCTGGTGGCTTACTTTGTTGTGCCAGGTCACGTGATTTTCCAATTTTTTTTTCCCATAACTACTTAAAGCTACGGAGTATTCTACTGAAATATACCCTCTCTAGATTTTCTACATGGTCTCTGCATTTCTGAAAACTATTTCCATTTGATTGGGCAGCAAAGAAACTTCCTGTGTGGGGTTGAAGAGGGACAGGGGTTGTGTTTGGACCAAGGAGGGACTCGTGGTGCTTGGTTCCAGACTTTGATGGGTAGGCTTGGTTTTTGCATGCTGTCTGTGAATGTCCAGGTCAGCATAGTCCTTGAAGTCTTTCTCAGTTATGAGGTGTTTGAAAATTCCACGCTTGCTTCCCTGTTGCAAGCCTTTCACTGACAGCTTTTGGGAGGAGGACATTTACCTCGAGTGGAGGGTTGAAATGTGGAACTGCTTTATCTCTGTCGTAGGCAGCACTCCTGTGGTCAGCTCTCTAGAATGCGAGGGCTGTGGGAATGCTTTGTTTTCCCTGTTCCAGCTCTTGATTTAACAGCTTGTCCTCTGTTTTTTTCCTATGCATGGCATTTCTGCAGAGGTGTTTTAGTTATGATACTCTGAAAAGCTGTAGTTCTCTGAAATATTTGAGCAATGGTTTCAGTTGAACCTTATCTCTAGTGTTTGTAAGGAAGCCAGAAAACCAAACTCCGTGGAACAGATCAGCTGTTTAATGGTGAGGCTTTTGTTCTTCAGAATAAGACCTCTTATGGGGGACTGATTTGGTAAAGAAACATTAAAGTACGGAAAGGATGGAGTACAACTGCCTATTGTATTTAGCAGTCTGTAGGTTTTCCAGGTGACCACTTCTAGCTGGGTTTTTGGATGTGCAATCCATAGGGTGGGTGTTTAGACTTTTGCATAAGTCCAAGCAGCTGTCTGTCTAAGTAGAATGGTTTTAAAGGAATGAGAAAGCGAACGAATTCATCTTGCTGATGCAGATCTTCCTAGGCTAACTGCATAGCTAGCTTCCTTTTTGGGTGTCCCTCCCTGTTGCTACATGAGGGTGCTTAAAAAAGATAGGATTATTAAGCAACAAATACTTAAAGGGAGTTTAGGGTCAGCAGAAGTTTCTAAGCTGACTTTGAATGTACCTCTGGCATACGGTACATGTTACTACAGTCCCTTTCTCAACAGAACAAAAGAGATATGGAAAAAAAATCCTTTATTCTTAAAATCTTTCACTGCCTAATTCTTCTCATTGTTTCTCTTCTGTGCAGACGCTGTGCTATAGAAGATGCACTATTACCGATACTCTAATGCAGAAGTCAGCTGTTGGTACAAATACCTCCTCTTCAGCTACAACATTGTCTTCTGGGTGAGTACTGTAAAGATTGTAGTAGTTAAGGCATACCTCAACTTTATTAACTGCCTGCATATTTCCTTAAGATAATAGGCTGAAATATTTACCAAGAAGCTGATGTATAGGAGCTGGGTGTTTTGAAATTGAAGAAGTCTATCCCATGTGAGAAAGTAATTATTATTGAAAATTATATGGATAGTGATTCCTCACAATCTTTCTTTTCCTTATCCCTTCCTCCTATCTTAGCTTCTGAGTAAAGATAAAGAAGTGAAGCATATAAAACTGGTTTTCTTGAGGTTTTTTTGTTTGTTTTGTTTTTAATGAAGAAAGAAAAGATCTGTTTAAAGGATTTGTCAAAAGAAAACAGTATAGTCTCTACTGTTGCTGACAAGGCCTTTTGTCTTTTGGTTGATGGAGGTCATTAAATGCTGGTTGCATGTGGGTAAAGGTTAAAGCTCCCTTTCTCAAGTGCACTTAAGTGGTTTGTTGAGTTGCTTCCCTGTTAGGAGAAGTTTCTTCTAATATCTCCTTTCAGTTCTTCTTTGATCTCTGTGTTGGGGTGGTGTAAATGCACTATGCAGAAGAGAAGAAAGAAATTGCTCTGGAGATGTGTCAACAGCTGGCATTACAACATAGTCAAGATCATAAATGTCGTGCTCTGTGGGCAGCAAAATTGTCTGATATGGTCTTGAAATGCTTAGCTAGGGACTAACCTGCTTATAATGTTTGTTTAGAATTGTGAATGTGAAAAGGGCGCAAAAATAGGCATGTGGTTTTAGATATGTATAATGGTCAAGATCACTGAAGCACCTAATTACCTTCGAAGAGAAGGCAATTCAAAGGTTAGTGTATAGAATTGCATTAGAAATAGTTAATGAGTCTGTGAGGAGAGATGAAGGTAAGGATGCAGTTCAGATAAACTTGATGGCTTTTTTCAGAACTTGCAGGTCAAATGTTAGGAGCATCTGAAGTCATGGAAACTGCAGTCATGGAAAGGCATGAGTTGTCATGGGGAAGTGTGGATACAGTGACTTGCCCAGTGCTAGCACCTCGCATTAATGTTCTGATTCGGAGTTGAAATTTCTTAGTATGGATAGCCGCTTCTAAAGATATTTAGACCTTTTTTCAAAGCTGAAAAGATCAGGTAGTAAGAATGGAAGTATGGTATGTAGCTGAAGGAACTTGTTCAAATTAAGAGTAAAAACTGACTCCCTGATTCTGACTTGTCTGAGATCAGTAGTCTTGCTAGAGAACATTATATGTATTCTATTTGTTTGCTGTGATTCCTTGAACCATGTCAATTTTTTACTACCTACAATTTGATATATGGAATCATCAACCCAAATCTGTATTTTACTTCAGTAAAATAAGGGGTTTCTTATCTGAACATAAATTGAAAGCTGCAGAATCTTTTTCGTATTTGTCCATGTTTTGCTTGACTAACCCATAAGGTTCTGGTAAAGTAGGCTGGCATTTCTGCACTTCTTGGCTGCTTTGGCAGTATTTAAAGTAGAAAATAAGGTTTGTTTTTTTTTGAAAGCTGCGTGTATAATGGACAAAACTCTGAATTCATGTTAGATTAGAATAATAAAAAATCTAGGTTTGATGTAACTTCTGGAGGTCACCTGACCCAATTTTCTGTTGAAAGCAAGACCAGTAGGGTAGGAAATCACTGCTTGAAGAGAAGAGCTGGGAGTCCTGTGAGCTTATTACTTATCAGTTTTCTGCTGATGTCAGTGTAATAAGAATATTAGAAGATCAAGTAATACTGAGACTGCAATGCCTGAGTATTGCTGTTGAACTTTTTGCTACGGTCACATCTTGTTTACTAGTGCAATGTTTTAATAAGATGCTGTAGCATTAAGCCACAGGGGAGTTTATCCTTCTGTGGGTAACAGGACAGAAAAGAAGCCTGTGGCTTGTGTAGAAAATTTTCCAGTAAGAGTTAATTGGCCACAATGTTGCCATAGTGAAAAAGTTCTTTAGTGATGACTATTTCCCCCTGGCAATTGAGGATTCCCCTCATGGCCTCATGAATCGAAAAGCATGTGTTCAAAGGCCACCAGCTCTGTAGCTATTTTTCTTCTAGATAGTACAACTCCCATGTACCTGTAGTGCAGTGTGGTGCGATGAGAAGTAATATTGTCAAGCTGTGCCAGTTTTCAGAGAAATCACTTTGGAACTGGCTGGGTGCTCTTCAGCAGGTAGTGTGTGGGATGTAGGTAAGCGTGCAGACAGCCTTTTGCCCATTTAAGCCCTTACTGGAGGTATTTTGTTAGTTCACCTGTGTCTCAACTGGTGGCACGTTTTATTCACAAGCCGAGTAATTTGCGTGTAAATAAGGAGTTGCATTTGTTCATTTGTAATGCTTACTAAATACACATGTTGACTTACTATCTTTGAGGCTACAATGGGTATCAGTGACTGTATAAGCTATAAAATTAAAGCATATGGTGACTTAGTAGTTTACAGAATATTTAAACTTCTTAGTAAGTGGTTAATTTTCTTCAGTTTGTGTCATGTTTCCAGTACGGTTCGCATAGATTGGTATAGAACAAAATATTGAACTTGGAGGAAATTTATGAATAATTTAATAATGGCAAGCTCATGGTTTAATCAGCCCTTAAAAGGAACTTGGAGGAAAAATATGAATAATTTGATAACGGCAAGCTCATGGTTTAATCAGCCCTTAAAAATCTGTAAATCTTCATTCTTTGGAAGGTGGTTTGTCTTTTTCCAAGATTCCATTGGGGACAACTTGGCAATGGAAGGTTCAGTTCTGCTGACTTTAAGTTGGTTGTATAGGACTGGCTAGCAAAATCATTTCTCTATTCTTTGTACTTGGGTTTCCCTTTTAAGAAAGGGAATGGAGGTCATGGGAAGGCTCTGTCTTTCAAGGCATTTTAATGTGGGATTACTTTATTTTCATCTTGCTTTTTAAGCCTACTAATAAGATTTAACTTCTCAAAGTATGCTTGTTTTAATGAGTAGTGATGAGGCAGTATTGCAACCATTAAGATAGCCCTGCAGGGAGTGCTCAGAAGTTTAAGTGAAATTACCCTATTACAGCAAGACTGGACCTCCTTTTGAGTTTTAAAGCTTGCTTTTTTTTCTTTTTTTTTTTTTTTCCCAAAGCTTGCTTTTTTTTTTTTTCCAAAGAGTTTCATTT